AGTGACAGGCTCAGGGAACAAGAGGCGAGGGCTTTCGATGCGACGGGGAAATCCCTGCGAGCAAGGTGTCATGTGGACTGAGACTGACAGGACAGAAAGAAGAAGCCAGCCACGCCAACACACGGCTGTAAGCCACAGACAGTGCAAGAGCAAAAGTCCTGAGACAGGACGCATCTGATCTACCTGCGGAACAGGAGGACGCCAGGCGGCCCGATGGCAGGTCAAGGGGAAAGCTGAAGAGACGGGTCAAAGAGGTCATGTCAGCGGCCTCCTGGCAGGAGCATGCACAGGAAGTGAAGTGCGGAGCGGCTAAGTGAGCAGCCCAAAGGCACACAGCTAATCACTGAGATGGCTTCTTTTAGAAACCAATTCTTCTGCCCCACAGCTCCGTTCTTCACACCCTGATGATATGCTGGCCTCAAGCTGTAGGGATAGTGTTTGCTGATCTTGTTGGTTTTTAAAAAGCTTTCAGCATACACAAAAGCAGCCGGTCAATCCCAATTTTCAGAAGAACATCCTCAAGAAGAGATCCCAACCATTTTAAATGCACCTAAATTCTACTCTGAAAGCCAAGACTTAGAGCCCATCTCCTTCTGCAGTCACCGTGTGTTAAAGGCTTAGCTTTACAAAGACAGAGGAAGGCCAAAAGCTCACCAGAGCATAATCGTTTTACACTTAGGTCTTATTTCTGCACCTAAACCTCTTGACACTGTTTTGCTTAATTCACCCAAGTGCAATCAAAACCAATCTGTTCTCAAACCACCTTCATTTTGTGCTATTTAGTTGTCAGGTAACAGGGCTGTGAGCAAAACATAATTACAGCTTCCTTCCAAAGTCTGAGCAGAGCCACCTGATGGTGCAAGCCTGCTCACACCTGGCGGCGGTTCACTCGCCCGGTCGTGTCCAGCTCCTGCCACCCGAGGACTGTAGCCCGACCGGGCCCTCTGTCCACAGAAATCTCAGGCAAGAATAGTAGAGTGGGCTGCCATTTCCTTCCCAACCCAGGGATCCAACCCAGGTCTCCCGCATTGCGGACGGTCTCTTTACCAGCTGAGCCACCAGGGAAGTCCCCTTCATACCCTGATTCTAAGGAACTGCCCCTCCTCATTTCTGTTATAACACTAGATTCACCTTCATCTCCCCCTTGCCAAACACGTTCAGTCTATGTAAACCCTAGAGAGCATATTAAAGCAGAGACATTACTTTGCCAACAAAGGTCCATCTAGTCAAGGCTACGGTTTTTCCAGTGGTCATGTATGGATGTGAGAGTTGGACTATAAAGAAAGCTGAGCACTGAAGAATTGATGCTTTTGAACAGTGGTGTTGGAGAAGACTCTTGAGTGTCCCTTGGACTGCAAGGAGATCCAACCAGTCCATCCTAAAGGAGATCAGTCCTGGGTGTTCATTGGAAGGACTGATGCTGAAGCTGAAACTCCAATACTTTGGCCACCTCATGCAAAGAACTGACTCCTTGGAAAAGACCCTGATGCTGGGAAAGATTGAAGGCGGGAAGAGAAGGGGACAACAGAGGATGAAATGGCTGGATGGCATCGCCAACTCGATGGACATGAGTTTGGGTGAACCCCGGGAGATGGTGAAGGACAGGGAGGCCTGGCGTGCTGCAATTCACAAAGAGTCAGACACAACTGAGCAACTGAACTGAACTAAAACCCAAACTTCCAAAGAACAGACCCAGTGCCTGTCCCGTGACCAGGGACTAAGCCCCTCCCCCAGGGGTGGATGGAGAGAGAATGTTTGGTTAGATGGGTTAATGGAGAAAAGGATGAGGTAGAAAGACTGACTTACTGCCTCCCTGCCCTCCTCCTCCTCCCCCACTGCCCCCTCCATCTCACCTTCTTGTCTTCTTCCTTGGAAGAAGTTTCTCCAATCCCTGAGCTCTGGGAACCTCACCAGGTAGGAGACAGAGGTCCCAGTAACATAAGGGACAGACAGGAAGAGTGTTTAGGGGCTCATATTTTAATCTGACCCACTAGCTATGTGACTTCTGGTAAGTTACTCAACCTCTCTGTCTTCAATTCCCTCACCTATAAAATTAGGATCGTCTCTTGCTTCTGTGGGCTTCCCTGGTGACTCAGTGGTAAAGAATCCGCCTGCAATGCAGGAGACTCAGATTTGACCCCTGGGTTGGGAAGATCCCCTTAAGAAAGAAATGGCAACCCGCTCCAGTATTCTTGCCTGGGAAATCCCATGGACAGAGAAGCCTAGAGGGCTACAGTCCACGGGGTCGCAAAAGAGACAGGACAGCGACTAGACAACAACAACTTCCTTTGATGATTAAAAAAAAGAAGACTGAATAAATGAAACTTCTGGTTAGATAATAATAAATAATTTAATTAACAATCTAATTAATCATTAATAAATGTGCACTAGTTCTATACTGGTGTGATATATGGCACCGTCACATCCGACTCGCCCCCTGCCTTCACCCCCTGCCTTCACCCCCTGGCTGAGAAAGACGACTGTCACCCACACCTCCAGGAACAACTGTGCCCCAAGTCAGAATATATTATTAGAAGGCAGCTCCGTGGTGTCCCGAAGGCAATCAAGTGTCAAGTGGGGACAATAACACTGTGCCATCAGATAACTATTGTGAGCATAACTATGAAGTTCCGTACATCAAACACCTGGCATGCAATGATTGCTCATTGAATGCTGTGACTTTTATTATGGTCTTTTCATTTTTAGCACCGTTGGTTGTGACCATAGGTGCTACTTGCTTGCTTTTTCACTGTTTCAGGCTGTAAAATATGGGATTCAACTGTGTTTATCACTGTGACATAAATAGGTAGAAGGATGATTATATAGAAATGCATTTTAAAAGCCATGGCAAGCTTCACAAAATCAGCCCTCCCTATCAGAGCTCCTTGAAAATCCTCATCTGATATTTTAGACAACGGCCCACTTGACCCACCTCCTAAATGACTCAGGGATGTCTCCCACTCACCAAGTACTGGGCTGAACTCAGGAGTTTTCCCTCAAGACTGGTCCTGCCCCCTCTCTTCCCAGTCATTCCAGCCACCCCACTCCACACTTGATTCACACGAAGCCTGTGACCTCCCGAGGCTCCCCAGTCCATCCATGGCTCCATCCCCACGGCCACCACCCCGGTCCACTCCACTACTGGGTCTGGTCCCTCACACCCGCAGGAGCCACATAGCACTTGCTTCAAAACTTAATGCAGATCATGTCACTTCTCAGCTTGAAACACTTCAGTGACTTAAGATAAAAACTACTCTCCAACCCCCAATCCACAATTCTCCCCTACCTGCAACAACACCAGACTTTGGGGTCTGAGTCTACCAGCCACGCCTCAAATCACATGCTCTCTTGGTCTCTGCTCCAGCCATGGAAACCTGCTTTCAGTTCCTCAAATACACGTGTTCCCTCTGCCTCAGGGCCCTTGCACTTGCTCTTTCTTCTTGTGCAAGTTGCCCTCTTCATTAGCCAATCCATCCCTACCTATCCTGCAGGTCTCAATACACAGGTCTGACTATCTTCCCTGACCACCCATCTCCCCTGGTTCTTGTCAGTCTCTTCCATCAGACGCTCTCTCAAACCCTTGTTGCTCTTTTTCATGAAACATACTGGAATACATGGAACAACATATAAACTTGTACTTATGCACTTCCCTCTGCAATGATTGATTTAAGTCTCACCGTAGACTCCAAAAAGACAGAGCTTTTTGTCTGTACCATTCTGACTGTATTTCCTGCACCTGGGACAACATTTGGTTTGTAGTAGATACTCAACGAATATGTTTTGAAAGGGTTCCTCCCCCCTCCCCGAAAAAGAAAGCAAACAAACAGACCGAAAAAGGCACAATTCCCTATTTCCAGAGATGGAGAGAGTAAATAGAAGGTCTGGGTTGTATTCAAGATAGAACAGCCCTGGTGTAGAGAATAGGCAATTATCTCCTCACTCTGTCTTCAAGAACCCCGTCAATTCCTAAGACGTGTCCTCAACAATGACTGGGTCTCCTCTTTTCCAAACGGAAAAGAAGAAATGCACTCGTAATAAACACACACACAGATACACACACCAGACAAATTTCAACCCCAACCCGCACAGAGGCGTTGTCTTGCCCAACTCAGCCTTCGGATGAGCTAAGAGAAAGGCTCGTCAAAGGCATGACAAAAGCAAGAGCGTTCTTGTCAAAACTGGACAGAAGGTTTCAACTTGCTCGGCTGGCAGAGGGATCGCCCAGGAGCAGCCTTCACATCTGTATGCTAACTAGAGACGCCGCGACCCTCCGCACACACGAATCTGTCTAAACCGCTCCCTTTTGAGTCCAGGGAACACTGCCCAGCATTGCTAAGAGCCTGTACGCTACTCTACTCGGGCCGGGGGCACACAAAGCGCCCCTCCCCAGCCCTCAGCAGCCCCACCCTTCTGGAAAACCACCCTCGCTCCCCCTTCTACTCCCATCGGAGCCAAACTCGCCGCCTGGTTTGGTGGTAAGACCGAGCAAAGATCGGGAAGGCCCCGAGGGGCGTCCTTATTCCGCGTGCCCCAGAGAAGGGCCACCTCCAGGGGCTGCTGCTGCGAGGCGCAGCCTCTCTTGCTGCCAGGAAACCCTTCCCGCTGGGGACACCCCGGGCTGGCCGGGGAGCTCCAGGTCCAGGAGAAGGCACCCCACCCATCTTTGCCAGAGACAAAGATCACGAGAAACAAAGGACACACAGGCACACACTAACACACACCAAGTCAGAAGCAAACACCGACACTTGCTGCAATCTCAAGCCAAACAGCCCGCCTGGTGTGTCTTTAGACAGATGCTGAAACAGTCCAGCAGGGACAATGTTAGGGGATAACGGCACCCGCGCGGCCTCCGCCCGCCTCCCACCCCGCTGCAGTCCCCAGGCGCGGTTTCCAGCCTCCGGACACACGCCGCCAGGAGCCTGGGTGCTTGCACTCCGAAGCGCGCGCACACGCCAGGGATGGAGGCAGGGCCAGCGCGGCCAGAAGTAGGAAATACCAACCTTTTGGATCCCAGTTCACCTGTTTTCTTGGAGTCTCGATTGGAAATTTCATTGCTCCGTTGCCCAGGAGGGGAGGGAAAGGAAAAGAATCGAAATAATAATAAAGTCCTGGAGCTTTACCAGCCTCCGTACAGCAGTCCAACAAAACAATTTCCGAGGATGGGGGAGCCTCGGGCTGGCTCGTGGAGGAAGCCCCGAGAAAGACTAGAGCAGCACTCTTGACTGAGGAGCGAACGGGAGGCTGTTTGGGTGTTTGCACCGGTGGCGGGGCGGCCGGCAGCCCCCCGCCCAGGGTAAAGGGAAAAGTAAGACCCGCGAGGGGTGGACGGACAGGGAGACTCGGGCAGAAGAGGGAGACACGCGGCTTCGCAATCGCGGGGCCGGCAGGCGTGGGGCAGAGCCGCCGGAGGGCGGGCGCCAGGGAGAAGCCCACTGCAGTGTCACTCCAGCCCCCCGAAGGCGTGTGCTCACACACTCCCGCACGCGCGCGCACACGCACACTCGCACACGCTCGGCCGGCCGCGCGCTCGGGCGGGCACGGCCGCCTCGCTCGGCCGCGCGGGGCGCACAAGCCCCACCCCGGCCGCGGCTCCGCGCCCCCCGGGCGACGCCCCCCACTCCTCGGCCGGCGAAAGCCATTGGGCCGAGGGCGGGCGCGGCGCCCCGGAGCCTCCCCGCCGCGCGCCGCCGATGCCGAGCCACGCGGGAGGGCGCGCCGCGGACGGAGGCGCCCGGCCCCCGGCGCCCGGGCGCGGGCAGCGGCCGGCGGCGGGAGGCGCCCGGAGACGGCGGGGAGCGGGCAGCGGGCGCGCGGCTACTTACTGGCGGGGCCGGCGCGCTCCGCGGAGTCGCCACGGGAGCCACGCTCGGCCGCCTGGCAGGCACTGTAGGCGGCGGAGGCAGGGCCGCGGCGGCCGCTCCGCAGAACGCGGGCTCGGCGGGGACTGCCTCTCTCCGCGTCCAGCCCGGGCGCGCCCCCAGCTGCGATCCTCACTTCGGGTGTTCCCTCTGGCCCCGAGCCCGCACCCCGAGCCCGCGTCCCCGGCGCGCTCCGAGGAGGCCGGTGCCAGCCCCGAGCCTTTTGTTCTGGGGTCGCCCGGCGTCCGCCGCGCTCTCTCCCCGCCCGGGGAAGCTCGCTCCCCAAGCACAGCCGGGCCCGGCCCCAGTTACCAGCCGCCCGGCCGGGGCCACGGCTCGGAGCCCCAGGAGGGGCGGGGCCGGGGGGCCCGGAGGGAGGCGCCGGGGCCCCTGCGGAGAACCGAGCTGCCAAGACTTGGCGGCCCCGGGAGCCCGAGGGCCTGGGCAAGGGAACCCCAGGATTGTTCCCGGAAATTAGCTGAACCTGGCGCCCTCCCCCGGACCCCGAACACCACCCCCGCTTGAAGCCGCCCCGGGGCTCGCGGTGGGACCTCAAGTCTCTAGAAGAACCTGGTGGTGCTGGGATGCTCTTGAATGAGCTACTCCAAGTACCAGTATCTATTATGTTTACAAATTACTTTGGATGCCTAGCGACAGAGACTTGCACGCAGTAGATGCTCAATAAATACTAAATGAAGGCCTGAACTGCAGGAAGTAGTGCTACAACAGGATGGAGTTCACGTTCCTGCCCACTCACTGTTTGTTCTAGGTATATCTTGACCCCTGCTAGGGGCCGTCACTATGCTAGGTGCTGGCCTATGACAAAGAACCCGCTTGACATGGACCCTGCCTTTACAGGGCTTACCGTCCAGTGCCATGAAGTCGGGTTAGATCGTTGCGGCCTTTACTTAAAAATAGAAAAGAAACGGACTTATTCCCCAGTCTGCCTTTTGTGGCACTGCCTGCCTGTTGGAGCGTTTGCTCTGGGAATGCATGCCTCTTTAGGGCACCTTGAGACTTCTGGGGAGCACTGTGTCAGCAGGCTCTCTCATCATCCATCTCCTGCTGTCAACCTCCAGGTTTCTGAGTTCCAGGCCAAGAGCCGCGGAGCTCACTGTCATCGATGGGAAGGGTGGGTAAGTGCTTTGTCACTGACCCGACAGGCGCGGGGGAGCTCTCTGCAGACCCAGCTCAGGAAATCTGTAGCGATCTGATGGCACTGCTCTGACTTAGACATTCAGGCAGGTGCAGTTTCCTTGGTGCTTCAGAGCCACCTTCTCTGGAACTCCCGTTCCGCACTTTGCCTCCCTCTGCTAGGAGGCTGAGAGGATCCGTGAGACTGGGAAATAAGACAAATGAAAAATTGCCCCTTCCCCGACTATGCCTCCAGCGTGTGCCCCTGCTCAATCACCTCTAACTCTCTGCGACCCGGTGCCTCCAGAGACACCAGTATATATGTAAATTCTGCTCCGGAACCCAAAGGGAACTGCTTCTAAGCTCCTGCGCCAGCCTTCAGAGCCTCCTCTGTCCTTGCCTCCTCCACTGCTCGTGGGCTGAAGGGCGCCAGTCCAGTCACTGCAGTGCTTTACCTGCATCCGAGTCAGAGAGAGGTCTCTACGGAGAAAAATAGTCTGTCTCCTGAATCAGGGGGAGGAGGGGAGGCAAGACTGACGTTTATCAACTGCCCCTTCACCTTCTCATACTTCTCTCCATCTTCCCTACATCACCTCCAACTGGCCTCACCTTGCAGATGAAAAGATCAGCCCCCTGGGAAGTACAGGAGCCCGCCCAAGGTCACAACACAGAGATTCAGACCTGAGGGACCTGGGCCCTGGACCCGTGACTCTGACCCTGAAGCTGTCACACGGGTACTTTGGGTTAATGAAGACCTGAATACAATAAGTTTCGAAGACTCCAGCCCCTCCACCTTTGCAAAATGACTTGGACTAACTTGGTGACCTGGGATCTATTATACATCAGGGAATTAGTTCACTGTCCAGGGCAAATTTGCATGGCACGAAATGCAGCCTCAGGGTACCTCCTTCAGTCAATCAACAAACGTTCATTGAACACCCCCGTGTGTACAAGACAGTTGGCAGGTTTTTGTCTGAAGTTATTTTGGCCCCTGGAGAATCTTCCCCAGAAAAGCATCAGCAGAACAATAGCAGTTTGGGGTGGACATGTTGGGGTGAGGTTGCAGAATCAGGGATCCAGAGTTCCTGAGGTCGATAAAGACTTGCGCTAGTCTTTGGCTCTGAGGATCATCTCTCAGCTAAATCCCCCTTCCCAACCTCTGGGGCTTCTCTCACCTCCACTTTCATTCTCCCTTCTCAGAATGTATACAAAGACAAGTTTTTGAGGCGGGGTGGGGGGGGGCGGAATCTACCAAAATCAATGAATTCATGAATTAATCCCAGTACCCCTCCCGTAAGGTGCCTGAAATCAAGCCCGACCCCTAAAGTGCGCACTCGGAAAGGACTGCGGGGCGGGGGCTGGGGAGAGGAGCAGGGGGTGAGGCGCCGGGAAGGGAGCCCCCCTCCCAAGAAAAGCAACTCGGCGCATTAACCGTTTGTGCTCCTGCAGTTCCCTTCCTTCGCCTCCAGTTCTCCCCCTTCGTCACTACAGACTCGATGACACTCACCCCAAGAAGGAGGAAAGAAGTGGTGGGCGCAGAGAAAAAGCATCCGAAAGAGGTGCCGTGCCAAGCGGTTCCCTCGCCTTCGGTGCCGCGGCAACTCGCATGGCTACTGCTGCGGGCGGGTTAAGGCTGGTGGAAAGGGGCCGCCTGCGGTCCCTGCGCTGGGAAGACTAAGCGTCGTGGCGCCGGGGCTCCCCGCACCCGCCGAGCCCCGCCAGCGGCCCCCGCGCCCTGGTCGCGTTCGGGGGTCAAGGGCGCGGGTCCCTGCCCGGGGACGCGTTCCCGCGGGCCGCCGGGTCGCTGCAGCCCAGAACCTGCGAGAGTTGCGGCAGCGGGTTATTGGATGCCGTGTGGCCCGGCGTGGAAGGGAAGCTGGAAAAGCCCAGTCATTTCCCGCGAGAAAGTTTCCCGCGAGTTGGTGGCTCCTTTCCCCCTCCCCGCCGCAGCCCCGGGCGGGTTGAGGGCGGAGGGGCGCTGCCTGCCGCGGGGAGTCCGCCTCTCCAGCGCCTGGCAGAGGACAGCTCCGCCGGCGAGGAGCTGGACCCGGGATGCCGGGAGACGCAGGGACAGTCCCGGACAGCGAATCGCAGCTCGCGGGACGCCGCTCGCTGCGGGCTCGGCCAGAGGAAGGGGAGGAGGACGGATGTGGTTAGAATCTACTTTGAATTCACGGATAATAAAGCGCATTCCTTATTCTGCCTTGGATTATCTCCCTTTGGCTTCCCCCTTCCTCCCTGAGGTCCTGAAGAGATCCCCATCTTCCTTGACTTTCCCCACTCCCAGACATGTCCAAGTCCTCTTCTCAAAAGAACTGCAGAGAGATTTCCAAGTCATTTTGTGAAAATAGTTCCCCCCACCCCCACCCCGGCCCCTACACACACACACACACACACACACACACACACACACACACAACCCCAGTGGAGGTGGAGACCCACTCAGTGGTCAAACTGATAGGATTATGCACTGAAGTTAAACTGCTCCACCAGGTCTGTTTTCTTTCACCAGCAAAGTTTCCACGTTGCTCTCAGCATGTAATCATTCCTCCACTTGTCTTCATGTCCCAACCAGCATCTGCAAAAACACACCCTTAAATATATGTTGCTCTAATCTGAGGCTGTGCTTTTGGCTTGAAAAAGCTGGAGACACACCAGCAACTAAAGGGCAAGAGGGCGTCCTGTATCATCCTGCTCAACAGTGAACTCCGGGGTAAATCCTGCAGACTATTTAGGTGACTCAACCTCTGATTGGGGGCTAATGAAGACAACATACTGTGAACCCCCCGGGAAGCTGTAATTAAAGCACCCAGGCTGAGGAACAGGTTTCATAACCAGGAACTACATCTGCTTGCCTTTTCAGTTTCTCTACTTTAAAACCTTTTTTACTGAGATATAATTGACATGTAACATTATATCACTCAGGTTTACAACATAATGATTCTATATTGGCATGCATTGTGAAATGATCACACAGTAAGTCTAGTTAACACCCATCACCAGGCACAGTTACAAAACTGTTTTTCTTAAAATGAGAATTTTAAAAATCATCTCTCTTAACAACCTTTAAATGTACAATATAGTATTATTAACTATAGTCACCATGCTGTATATTACACACCCAGGACTCTTTTAAATTTTTAGAGAATATTATTTAAGATCATGTACCAAACATTTAACCCAAAAAAAAGTACAGAGCCATAATCCTGCTTATTATAAAACAAGTTTTAAGGAGATTCCCCCTGTCTGAGTTACCACCAAAACATAATCCCAGGTAATTTTTTTAAAGAGATGGAGCTGGATTTTTCGTTGTTGTTGTTTTCCCCTCAAATTCTCATTTTGAAATTTTCCAGACACAGAAAAGTTATAGCTGTTCAATACAGACTTTTGGACTCTGTGGGAGAAGGCGAGGGTGGCATGTTTTGAAAGAACAGCATGTATATTATCTATAGTGAAACAGATCACCAGCCCAGGTGGGATGCATGAGACAAGCGCTCGGGCCTGGTGCACTGGGAAGACCCAGAGGAATCGGGTGGAGAGGGAGGTGGGAGAGGGGTCGGGATGGGGAATGCATGTAACTCCATGGCTGATTCATGTCAATGTATGACAAAACTCACTGAAATGTTGTGAAGTAATTAGCCTCCAACTAATAAAAATAAATGAAAAAAAAAGTTATAGTTGTTCAATAAAAACCAGAATCCAATCAAAGATTTCATTTGGTTATTATTGCTGTTTATTATACTTTAGAGAATTCCCTCCATCTTATTTTATGGCATTGATTTTTTTTTTTTAAGAGAACAAATTCATTTGCTTTCTGGAAATGTTTAATGTCATGATGCAGCTAAAGATAAGTCAAGTCAAGGGGAGAACAAACAGTTTCCTGACCATAGCAGGTCATTAAAATAGCTCAAAAAAAAATAATAAAATAAAGTAGCTCAACACCTGCTAGTTGAATTCAGTGTCTCCACCAATATCAATGGAACAGAAAGCAGTTGCATCCTCAATCACTCAAGTGTCTCTCCTAGACCTAGCCCTAGCCTTAGTCAAAGAAGTTATTTTTGTTTCTTCTTCTCAAATTGGCCATGTTTTAAGGATAAACGAGAGTTTTCATGCATCCACACCAGTTGACAAGCACATATGGTACTTTTCTGAATTTAAAAACAAGAACTCCGCAAGGTTACACACCATAATGAATAATTTTCATTTCATTCTAGGAATGTTTTAATGTGAACCGAAATTTGAAGGCATGTGGAAGGCATACATACTCTCAATAACCTGTTTATTTATGGGCAAGTCATCCCCAGAGACTTTAAGCCTGACAAAGAGTTGAAAATCCTTCAGGAGGACCTGGTGTCTCCAAGTATTGACAGGTGCTTCTACCAAGCAGCCAG